ACCAGGTGAACTTGTATGAAAAGGAAAAAAAGGAGGAGTGAACAGAAGGCTGTAAATGTTTTTTCACTCTTACCTGCTGATCTCAGAGTGGTTTAATTATAGGGGTGGCTCAGTGGATAAGTCATTGGGCTTGTTGACTGGAACGTTGGCAGCCCAGGTTCAAGACCTGAGCACATGACAGGTTCAGTTCCTGTCCTTGAACCAGCTCTGTCAACCCATCAGTTCAAAATCATGTAAATGCAAGTAGATAAATAGGTATCACTTTGGTGGGAAGGTAGCAGCACTTTGTGATGCTCCCTACTGTCAGCAATGACAGAGTAAAATCCACTGGGACTCCTTTACCTTTACTTTAAATAATATTTCCTCTTAAAATAGCTTTCATATTTTCAATATTTTATCAAATATTAAATCTTTATAAAATGATAAAGGATGGAACTAAGTTTTTACATTTCACACATTTTTAAATGTACAGCATTACAGCCTGCTGAGGTTTTAGTACAATGAAAACAGCCTTAGTTGATGACCCCATGAACTTTGGTGTCCTTCTTTCAGAAGATTAAGACAGTTGATCCCTGCAGAGTTACTTAAATAACCACACAGAAATAGACAGATCTAATGAGGTGACAATGGAACAAGCAGAAATGAAGATATTGTGATTAAGCTGAAAATTCCTTCCATACTAATAATGCAAGATTACCTAGGAAATGTGTATGCCAGCTTTTTTATAATAATCAATAGTTGTGGCTGAGAGGGAAAATGAAACTCCAATTATCTATCCATAAATGACATAAAAATTCTGTTTTAATCAGATTTTTAGTCTGAAATATTTTGGAGTGAATTAGCTACTTAGCTTCTAATGAAACACACAGTAGTGCAATTTTGTTATGGACTTTTAATATTTTATTATATCTTGATATGAAATGTAATGAAGCTGCTATTAGGATGTTAATTTGGTACTTGGATTGGAATGTGTGCTTGATTTTCACATTGCTTCAGAGTGAACACCCCCCTCCCCTCACCTTCTCTAAAAAGAAAAAAAAAAGGACAAAACATTTTTTATCTCTCTATGACAGGGCCTGAAATGATGATTTGATCTTTCAAATATAGAAGCTTTCCTCTATGGCATTTCTTCTGCTTCCAGTGTTTGTTTTCACTCCTTAGATCCCAGAAGAGAATTTCATTTTGATGTATAGATACTCTTCTGATAGTGTTATTCAACTGAATAGAGGTTGGGGTTTTTTTTAGTTTACCCATTGACATTTATTGTATTTTCACAATTCATGAGCCAGAAGGGTAGATATTTATTTTTGAAATGGAAAAATCCATGCTGAAGTACATTTGTATGCTGAAAGATTTTGCACTGAAGATGAACAATGCCATGTGAAAAAATATTGCCAGATCATTCATTGTATGAAATGCTTTTTAGATAGCACTGATCTTTCAAAACTATAAACAAATGGGCAGCACTTTGAATTCTGGCGCGCGCGCACACACACACACACACAC